GTCTTTGAGATCAGAAATTGTGTCTTTTGCTTGCTGTAGCCTGCTGCTTACACTCTTGATTGTATTTTTTATTTTTTTGAATGAATTCAGTCCCAGGAATTCTGCAATATTCATTTTTTAGTTATTTATCTCTTTGAAAATTTCCTCCTTCATATCTTGGATTGTTTTTCTTATTTTGTTGTGTCATCTCTGTAAGTCTTGCATTTCAATCAGGTTCCTAAAGATTGTTGCTTGGAATTCCTTTCTGGTCATTTCAAAGGTGTCCTGCTGTTTGGGGCCTGGTACTTAGGAATTATTATATTCCTTTGGTTGTGTCATATATTTTTGTTTTTTCATATTTGTAGTATCTCTATGTTGATGTCTCATCATCTGGTGGAGCATTTGCTTTTTCTGTTACTCTGGAGTGGCTTTTGAGGAGAGATACTCCTTCTCATGATGTGTTTTATATTGACTGTTGGTCAGGGTGTTTTAATTTTGGTTCTCAGTAGACATGGTAGTGTAGTCTCCATGTGGTTACTTGAACCATATTTAATGTCAGAGTTGCCTGTGAGTGCCTCTGTGGCCTAGGCACTGGGGCACTCAGTGGTTCCTTGCTGAAGTGAGTGACACTCATTGAGGATATAGGCTAGATCTCAAGTTCTTGGGAGAAGTACCTAGGTGCCCTGTTAATCTTTGGCTTAACTGGGTGAACCTGGGTGTATTTGCTGGCACCCTGGCTGGTGTCCTGTGACCCTGATAGGTGCAATTGGGTGCACTGAAGCTCCTCAGCTTAAATGGGTGACCCTGGGCTGGGATTCTCTCTCCCTGTCCTATAGGCAGAGGCTCTTCCTTGGCTCTTTCTTCTTCTGGTTGGAAAATGGAGTGGTGGTGGCTAGGTATTTCCTTTCATACTCTGTACTTGAATTTCTGTTCTCACCAGAGGATCCACACTTGTCCCTCCCTGGGTCAATGCAGTGTGTGGGCTGTGAGAATAAATCTCACCCTTGGGTGCATGACTGAGGGGCAGTGGATTTTTCTCCGTGGTGGGACATTGGGTTGAGGAGCTGCACTTGTTCGCCTATTTCTGGCAGCTCCACACATGGCTCTCTCTGGGTCAATGCAGTTGTGTGAACTTCATGAGTAGTTCCCAACACTGGGTGCATGGGGCTGTGCTTGCTCACAGCTTTCCTCGTTACTCCTGCCTGGTAAAACAGGAACACCTGGATCAGGGTGAGATGGAGCTGGTGGCACCTGGGCTGGTTGTTGGTAGGGAGTGGGACAGACTGCTGTGTAGAGACAGATGGCAGCAGCCACAGTGCACCAGGGTCAGGTGATGCCAGCTATGGTGATGGTGGCGGTGGTCACCTCTCATCTGCCATCTTGCCTTCTTCCTGGAGCAGTGTGAGCATTATAACATTCTAATTTTGTCTGTGTACTTATTTACTAGTGAGTTTTACACCTTCAAATATTTTCTTGTTATGCTTTATTGTCATCTTTCAGATAGAATAACTCCCTTTAGCATTCCTTGTAAAGCAGATTTAGTGTTGATGAATTCCCTTAGCTTTTGTTTTCCTAGGAAATACTTTATGTCTCTGATGGAGTTTGGATATGTTGTCCCCTCCAAAACTCATGTGGAAATTTGATCTCCAGTGTGGCAGTGTTGGAAACTGATTGAGTCATGGGGGTGGATCCCTCATGAATGGATTAATGCTCTTCCTGGGGGGGGGAGTAATGAGTGAGTTCTTGCTCTATTAGTTCCTGCAAGAGCTTGTTGTTTATAGGACCCTGGCACCTCCTCTCTCGTGCGCACTTCCGCTCTCTTGCTTCCTCTCACCATGTGATCGCTCATACCTGCCGGCTGCTTGCCACTTTCCGCCTAGGCCTGTGTAGAAGCAGCCTGAGGCCTGTGCCAGATGCAGCTGTCCCAGAATCATAAGCCAAATAAACCTCTTTTCCTTATAAATTACCCAGTCTCATGTATTTCTGTTATAACAACACAAACGGACTAAAACAGTCTCCTCCATATTTGAAGGTTTGTTTTGTTGGATACAGAATTCCTGGTGGGCAGTTTTTTTCTGTTAGCACTTTATCATCCCACTCCTTTCTGTCCTGTAGGATTTCTGCTGAGGCATCTGCTGAGAGCCATATTAGGACTACTTTGAATGTTATGTGTTTATTTTCTCTTGTTGCTTTCAGTATTTACTCTTTGTCTTTGGTTTTTGATAGTTTGATGATAATGTGCCTTGAGGAATTTCTCTTTAGCTTAAATTTTTTTGGTTACCTTTGAGCTTCCTGAACCTTAACACTGTCATTTTTCTCCATAGTTGGGTAATTTTCAGCTATTATTCCCTTAAATGTGATTTCTAGGGCTTTTCCTCTCTTGTCTTCTTTGGGTACATCAGTTACACAGAGGTTCTTTCACTTGATGGTGTCCCATAATTTCTGCAGGCCCATTTTATCTTTTCTTATTTATTTACTTATTTTTTTTGTTCCTCTGATTGGGTAGCTCACTGATTCTTTCCTCTGATCAAGTTTGCTGCTGAAGCTTTCTATCAAGTTTTTCAGTTCAGATAATATGTTCTTTACTTCTTGTAATTCTACTTGTTTTTTAAAATATTGATTCTATTTCTTTTTCTAGTTCTTTGTTCTGCTCTTGTATTGTCTTCCAAATATCATTTAATTTTCTTCTTGTATTTTCTCATGACTCCTTGAAAAATTTTAAGAGGGTATTCTAAATTCTTTGTTAGAAATTTCATAAATATGCCATTCTTCTGGGTCCATTGCTGGCACTTTGTTGGTTCCTTTTGGTGGTGTTGTCATATATCTTTGTTCTTTCTTGATCTTTGTATTTTTAGGTTGATGCCTGTGCATTTGAGGAGATGGCTTTCTTTACCAGCTTTTTTGGGTGTTCTTTGGTGGCACTGGACCTTTATTGCTTAGTGTCAAATCTTTATCTCTATCTTAAAGTTAATTTCCATTCTGTGGCATAGTTATAGCAACTGCAACTACTTAAATACTGCACCAGAACAAACTTGTCTTGCCATTATTTCCGAGGTTGGAGAAGACCTATTGTGGAGGCCAAAAGTTGAATGTTGTGGCTAAGCCAAATTGCTGCCTTGACAATATTTCACAACCTGAGGAAGACTTACTTGTGCAAATTTAATTGTTGGCCTTCCAGTCACTTCTGGGTCATGATAACACTCCACAGGAGCAACTAGACTATGTGGAAAATCTGGCCTGGGAATGAGTATTACCCACGGATTGTGTCTACCACAACACTGTGGCACCAACCCATCTCTACTGTGTGGTGCCCGTGCTGGTTGGGATGCACGTCAACTGCCAGTATCAGATTTTAGTGCACCCCGCCAATACCACAACTCAAGGTGTCCCCCTCCCCCTGACATGCCAAATGTTTGCTATGGGGCAGGCCCTCAATGAGACCCCATGAAGACTCACAGACCACTGGGAAGATTGAACATCCACCTCTTACTCTCTTCTCTCACCTCTGAGACTGTAGGTCCAGTGGCCTTCTCAGTGTATGTTGCTGTGCTGGCTTTGGGAGGGGGTGGATAGAGTGCTCTGAAGTAATCCTTTCCTTCCTCCAATTCTGGCCCCTTCCCACCTATTCAGGTGCAGGGGAACTTCATAAACAGCTATGCTGGCTTGAGAGATGGGATGGGACATTTTGAAGTGATCTTTGTTCCCAGTGGTCACAGCACATTTCTCCTCTGAAGGTTTCAAGTACCTTCAGAAGAACAGCTCTGCATCAGCTTTGCAGACTCCAGGAAGCTTCTCTGTGCACTGTGCCATGCCAGCTTGGAGTAGCAGCTGCGACTGTTTAAAGTGATTCTTCCACCCACCTGCCATGGCTTTTCACACATTTGTGGGCTCAAAAAGCCTCTCTACTTCCTCCCCAGAGTTCTGGTGATTTCAGAATGGCAGTTTTATGCTTTAATAGTTGCTAGCTGATTTCTTGTGTTGGGGAGCAAAGCTGGGTATTGTCTACTCTGCCGTCTTAGTGATGCCACTCTTTGCCTTGAGTCATCTTGAAGAAAATCCTGAAGTTGTCTACACGTCAATGCACAGTGTTCTTAAAACAAAGAATATATTAGATGAGTGAATCATTAGAAGAAGGAGTTTGAGGAAAGGAATCAGAAGTGGACCACAATAAGAAAGTGCTAGTGGGAGGTTCTTGCAGGGGATCCACAAAGAACTCAAATCATCTTTAAGGAAAAAGGTCCTAAGCCATACCAACAGGGCACTGACACCAGATCAGTAATGCATCCTGTAAAACAGTTTTCTTTCTCTCATTCCCTACATCCCATGGTCATAACTTGAAGATAAACATGAGCTAGTGTGCTCTAGGAGAGGTAGAGCTAGAAAATGAAAAAAAAAAAAAAAAAAAAAGCCATACGTCTTCATTGCATGCCTGTAAGGCTGAATCAGGGACTAGGCTATGTGAATGAGTGGGGTCCAAGAAGGAGGCAGAATCAAGGGGAGAAACTTTGAATCAAATTTGAGAGAGAGATTTTTATTTTTTACTTATTTTTATTTTTTCATAGTATTATCTTTTTATTTTTTATTATGAATATTCATGAGATACAAATTACCAGAAATTGCTTTTGTACCCAGTGTCCACACGCAATTGTCCCACAACCACCCTCCCCTTCCCCCAAGTTGAGTTTAGTTGAGTGAGAGGGGTTTGACATTCTAAAGTTGCTTGTCCCGACCCGTGGGATATTCAACGCAGACCCTGGAGGGGGGAGTGGGAATTGGATGGGACAAGAGATGCGAGAAATGGAGACAAGACAGTATTCTGATCGTCTAGTTTATTAGCCAGAAGGTCACAGTTTATATAGACAGCAGGAGGGAATCAGCAGATAAGGAAGTATGCAGATGGTTTACTGAGAAAACCACAGGACGGGTTGTTCCGGTAAATGGAAAATTCCCGTTATCTATGGCAAGTTGCAAAGTTACCTACACCCATAGTGCACAGGAGGAGGAGGGACAAAAGATGACAGCAAACAAGGCTCTGAGGCCTCGAGGCAATAGTTGGGTGGGCTCTTTGGCTCCGGACAGGCAGGCAGCCGGGCTCTAAAGGCTCCAGACAGTTGCTCATTCAACTTATTCTTTGGGGAGAAGGAGCTGAATATGAAAATTATGTCCTTTGGATTCTTAGAGTATGTTACATGACAGTTCTGATGAGCTGCTGCTTATTATATCGTGGGCCTCTTTATGAAGTGCCCTGCTCTCATTCCGGAATCCTTCCTTGAGAAGTCGTTCTTGTTCCTAAAAGAGAAAGTGGAGACTAAACTAATAAAGATTAACATATTTCTCATATTTGCTAAATTAGTTACCCTTTTGGTATTTACATTAATCCCTCAAGAGGTTTTGGCACTTGTTCTTGAAATCCATTCTTCCCATGACTTCCATTATATCACCCTTTCCTGAATCTTCTATTCCTCACCATAATTTTTATGGGCTTTCTTTACCCTTCAGAAATACCATCATCTTACAGTTCCTAGAAAATTGGTGACCTAGAATTCTATTCTTGGGTCCATTCACCCACATGGAACACAGTCTTTTTGGAAAAACCACCAATGGTTTTTTTTTTTTTGCTTCATCTCTGGTCTACGTAAGTGTGGACTCTCAAATATATATCTAGGAATGTTAACTCTATGTGTCAACTTGATTAGATTAAGGAATATCTAGAAACCAGGTAAAGTTATCTTTTTAGGTGTGTCCATGAGGGTGTTTCCAGAAGAGATTAGCATGTGAACCTGAGTAGACTAGGTGGTAAAGATCCACTCTCAATATTGGCAGTAACCATCTAATTTGTTGGGGGCCCAGAGAGAATAAAAACAAAGGAAAAGGTGAGAATCACTCTCTCTACAGAGATACACTCTGCTCTCCTGTCCATGGACATCAGAACTTAAGTCCAGGACTTACACCAATGGCACCACTGGCTTCTCTGGTTCTGAGCCTTCAGACTTGTACTGAACCATGCCACCAGCATCCAGTTTTCAGATGGCTTATCGTGGGACTCCTCAGCCTTCACAACTGTGTGAGCCAATTCCCCTAATAAATCCCCTCTCATATATTTATATACATATCCTATTTGTTTTGTCTCTCTGGAGAAACCTGACGAATACAAGGAAGATATGAATGATGGGTGAAATCCAACAAGAAGTTTATTACATAATTCAGAATCATGGCAGGAAGATGTTCAATCAGTGAATTTAGGACAAGTCTGAAAAATTTTGGTGGCAGAGGAAACAAATTAAGTTGATGAGATCATGGCCTGCAGTGGCCCATGATACACTTCTGGACTCAACACTGATGAGTAGAGCCTGGAGAACAGGAAGGTTCTGGCAACATGGACATTTAACCAGTGTGCTTAAGTGAGTAGATGGTTAGGGAGTCTTCCTACTCATTAGGGTGTTTCCAGAGATAAAGTCATACCAGGTATGGCAGAAACAGCATCGCTGTGAATTTCACTCAGTAGGAAAGATAGGCCAGATAGTTTACTGTGCAGTCTGATGCAGAAAATTACTTAAGTCTCATGAAACTACAATTTCCTCATTTAGCAAATGAGAAAATAAATAATAATTCTTGTACCAATAGATGAGGGTTTGATCACAGAATGCCTCTAAAACAGTGTGCAGTGCCTAACAAGCAATAACTACTGTTTAATAGTGATATAATAATGAAGTATTCCATGGGATTATCCCCAAAGTAACCAGTCTTTAGTAACCAGAGGTGGCCAGAAGTAAAACAGTAAGGGAATGCAAAGGGTAGTAGAGTGTCTGCACTAGAACATTCCTTTTGGGGGGCATTAGGTTCTCACTCTTACACTTTCTTCTTTATTTGGGGCACTGGAAGAGAAATTGAGATGACAATTGAATACCTGAAGTTTGAGAGTGAGGGTCCTCTCTTGCTCTGCCATTAACTGGGCCCTGTCCTGCTCCATCTTCTCAATCAATTGTTTCACATGTTCCTGATAACTCTTTTCTTTCTGTTCCATCATCTGCTCATTCTTCTTTTCGATTTCCTTCAACATTTTTTTTACAGCTTCTGCAGATTCAGCCTTTACACGCTCCACTGAGGAAGAAAAATAAGCAGGGAAATATGAAGATTAAATTGTACATGTTGCTTTTGCCTTCAACCCTTTTTGTCTTATTCTTATATAGTTAAGAAAATTTCTAGTGATCATTTTTGCACTGGATAAACAGAAGACAGATGACCGTACATACCAGATAAGAAAAAACTACCACAGAAGTAGAAATGATACTTGCTATTCTTTCCCCACAATAATGATTCCAGGCGGACCGGTATTGCTAATTAACATTTCCAGGGCTTTCCACCTCTCTAGAGTGTTCTCAGTTGTTCTCACCTTCGATCTCTCTTTCCTTTTTTGTGAGTGACTGATCAGTCTGCAGAAGTGAATCAGCCACATCCTCCTTGGACTTCAAGTATTTATTCAGCATCTCTTCTGCCTAGTTACACAGAGGATGTTAGATCTAGGAAATAGAGCCCATGAATTAAAGTAAAACTCTGTAATTCACCTGACATTTCAATTTAATTTAACTGCCCATGTAACAAGTCACTCTATAACTCAGATAGCATTTTAAATTTAATAGGTATAAAACCCAATTCTGAATCCCCTCTCAAACCTGTTCCTTCCAAGTTACATCAATTTTAGTAATTACTTACTCTGTTCATCTAACTGTATCATTGATATCTCTTTTCTCTTATACATCTCATATACAACCATCAGCTAATTGTGTTGGCTTTAGCTTCAGAGTATAACCAGAACCCATCACAGAGTAATTTTTGTTACTGTGGCAGTGACTGTTAGAGTCATTGTAAGCTCTATTCTCCCTTTGTACTTTGCAATAGAACAATGATTTTTTCCCCAGCTGGGCACATGGCAGATCATGATAAAATACTGTATTTTCTATTCAACGCCTTTTGTAGCTGGGGTGCCCACATGATTAAATTGTCCAATAACATGCAACTGGAAGTGTTATATGGTACTTCATGGAAATCTTTTGAAGGGAGTTGACTCACAGCCCTTTTATAATCTTCTGTTTTCCCCTCTTTTTTTCTATTTACAATGTGAAACTAAAGGATGAAACTCTAACAGTCATCTTAGAGCATAAATTGACCTTGAAGAGGGAGACCACGTGCTGACGTGCTGGAGCAGAACAAGGGAAGGGCCTGGGACAGAGATGAATGTGGGGTCATCACAGCAGCACTGGGTTCCCTCTGCCTGACTTCTCGTATACAAGAAAGGAAAACAACTTTTGTCTTTGTTAAGCCACTGCTGTTTTTCATTTTAAAGAATGTATAGCCAATCCTCATGCAAACTGATCTAACCTGAGTATTGCAGCATGGAAGAATTGCTAAGAGCACAGATTTTACTACCTGGATTTACATTGAAGCAGTACCAATCATTACCTGTGTGATTCTAGGTGAGTCCTTGTACTTCTCTATGCCTCAACCTTCCTTTTTATGAAATTGGGATATAATACACACTTTATAGGGTTTTTGTGAGGATTAAATGAATTAAGCTCTTATCCCAGTTCCTGGAACGCAGTAAGCACTACGTAAGCACACTTGTATTTCAGCCAATATATGTAAGCACACTTGCATAGTGCTTACTGCGTTCCAGGAACTGGGTTAAGAGCTTCATTTATTTAAGGAACATTATAAAGGAATTCATTTAAAGAACCATTAATTCATCCCGGGAACCCTATAAAGTAACTATTATTATTTTTGACAGATGTATTTTGTTTATTGCCTGTATGTGCTTTGAGAGAACTTAGTCTTTTATTTTTATTATTATTTTTATTTTGTCAATATACAATGTAGTTGATTATTGTGTCCCATCACCGAAACCTCCCTCCCTCCTTCCTCTCCCCCCTCCCACCCAAGTGTGTCCCCTCCATTTGCTTGTTGTAAGAACTTCAAAAAAAAATAAAAATAAAAAAAAAATAATTG